GAAGGAAGGAAGGAAGGAAGGAAGGAAGGAAGGAAGGAAGGAAGGAAGGAAGGTAGGTTTCAATTTAGCATCCAATCCTTACTTGGTTCAGAGTTTTAAAACATGTCAGTTTGATAATTTTCTTAAGAAGTTTTTTTATTTAAGGAACAAAAACATCATTGACTGTGTCTCTTCCAGCCCAATATTTAAGTTTCTCAAATATAAGGAGACTACTAGAATAGACTTCTCATACTGTAATTAAATTAATTTTAATTAGATGTTCATAAAACAGTGATTAGTCTTATATCAAATGATAAGCATATAAAAGTAGTCACTCCAGAGCAATGCAAGGTTTCAGAATATTTGTTAATGGAGAGATATGGTTGGGCTAGTTCTCCTTGCTTATTGTCCTCCTTATTCTAAACTGGATGCATTCTAGATGCCCTTCCTTTTCAAAATGAGAATAACAACTTGGGTTAAGAGAAGTGATTACTTCTGGAAAATCCTACTCACCTTGCAGCGCAATCATATGCCAGGACATCTGTTTCAGCCAGAAGGTCCCCATCGGTCTCATGGTCACCTCCATCTGGCCCCAATTCAAACAGCTAAAAAAGAGAAGCCTTCAAGAGTTTTACTTTCTGGATGGTCTGGGATGTCGTTCTCTTCTTACCCTCCACCCCAGCCTCTCTCTTGGGCAAACTCTTGTGCAAAGTTCAGCAGGTGCCAAGAAAGCAGCTTCAGAGAAACTGAGCAAGTGGTGGTGGGCTGGCATTTAAAGCCCCTGGCTACCACTTCAGCAGCCCAAGGCAGCCTCGGGCAGAAGATGGCTGGGAGGTAAGCCAAAGGGTCCCTTGCATCTTCTAAGCCTGAAACACACGCATGCCTTCTGAGAGTATGTTCCAACTTTGGAACAAAAGGTACCCATTCCAAAATTTCAAATCAAACAACCTGTTTGGCATGTTTGAGGTCAACATGCCCAATTCGGGGTTGCTAGAGTTTTAATCTGAGTTCAGGACAAATATTCTTGTGCAACTGTTCTCAGCAGGACCAACCCAAGTCCAGACATTCATTTTAGTACATAACAGAATGGAGAGGAGGTATAGCCGGAATATTTATTAAACAATACAGAATTCATAGTTTTGAGAATGTTAGATGAAGTAAATGACAAAATATTCAGTTTATCTTCATCAGTGCAATGTCTTTCTGATGAAGATCAATACCCCAGCCTTGCCAAAACTCAGTTTGATGATTTTAGAAATTAAAGAATGATTTAAATACCAATAAAAAATTGGTTGTTTATATGGGTTCAATTATATTTCCATATTACCTTTCCAACGAACAACGTGCCCCCAATTTTAGGTATGTGACACTACATGATGACATTAGCCCTGTTTTATAAGTACAGTAAGGACCACCTTTATGGTAACTTATAGTAGGGAATACATTTGAGGGGAGAGAGGGGGAACATCTGAGAAAAATCAAAGGTGTACCTGCATGTTTCTTATTATTTTCACATGCATATATTCTTGCACCAAAGCAAGCTTCGTTCCATACTGATATCTCAAGCACTGCCTCTTCAGCTTGATCGAAGTCGTGCCATGTTCCCAATTCCGATTTTAACGAAGCTCCTTCCCTTACCTTTATTTTAGCGGTGTACTCTCCCCTGCCCCCAAAGAGGCCAAGGCCGCCCAGGAAGAGGTCCGTATCCGCACAAAAGCGAACGGCTTCCACGGAGTGGGCGGAGTAACCCCACCCTCCTCCGTGACCTGGAAAAGCAGGAAAGCAGGTTGTTGTGCAACCCTCCGCAGGTGCTGCGGGCAAGGGCTGAGGGGAGAGGAGCAGCAGCCAGGAGGAGGGGATTACTTTCAAATCTGTTGACAATACTATAGTCTTCCTTGGCATAGACTTTCATCACAGCGTGACTCTCCTCTTCTGTATTCATCACACCCATTTTTAAGTCCTGCATGGCAGCCAACGTGTCAAGACAACCTTTAAAAATAAAGGAAAAAGACGAATACAGTTTGGAAAATTCACTGGTAACAACCAAATAATTTCCAAAGATGATCATATCCATTGAAATGGACCACTGTTAACAGGTTACAAATGATAATCATTTAAACGGGAGTTGGAGAGCATACTGGCATATAAGGTAATATATCTGGCTTTCTATACAGAACACCAAAGGAATATAAAATGCTTTACAAATTATTTGTACTATATAACTGTACAGCTATAACTGTAGGATTAAAATTTCTCCAGATCAACATGCAGGCTGATTTCACTTATCTTTAAAAGAGATAATCGATTATTTTTAAAAGATACACTGCTTAATATCTGACAGCACAGCCCTTGAATGTCCCAAGCCTTCCACTATAATAGCATCAAGAAAAATAATATCAGCTACAGGTAGACTTCACTTACTGACTGCCTTGTGCAGCGACCATTCAAAGTTACAATGGTGCTGAAAAAAATAACTTTGCAACCAAGACGTGCCTTCACCGTGCCTCTCTCTGAGTTATGTGTTTGCCATTGCAGTTAGTATGTGTTGTTCTGCACATGACCCATTCCCCCCCCCCCACAGAGCAGAGAGATTCCTTAAACAAGCAATCTCTTTTGGCAACCTCTCCTGTGCCTGACCCATTCCCCACCCCAAGCTGCAGAGCGGAGAGATTGGAAAGGAAGGGATAACAAGAGAGTAAATAGGCACACAATGGGGCATACACATAGAAAGGAATGCATTAGTGTGCTACGCAAACAGCAGGCACTAGCACATTCCTTTTGATGTGTATTTCCCATTGCATGCCTGCTTACTCTCTTGTAAACACTTCCTCTCCAATAAATGTAAATACAAACATCAGTCCTCTTTTTGCTAATGGGTGAGCATTCCAAAGGGCAGGGGAGTGGTGAAAAAGGATAGCTGAAGTAAAATCAGAAGCACAGTCATGGTCACGTGATTCTCCACTTAGCGACCAAGTTGCCAATCCCAATTGTTGTTGCTAAATGAGGGTTTATTCTTGAAGTTAATGAAGTTATTTTTGCAATAATGTATGCTATTTTGCTAGCTACTTGAGGTGGACCATTCATACCGAGCATGTGCAAAGCTGCGTGTGATCTTGTGGTAAGAGCTTTGGACCCTGTTGGAAGAGCCAGTTCTGGGCTGAGAATGCTGCAGCGGGACTGTGTGTCCGGAGCAGAAGGAAGTCTGGAATCAGCCACAACTGAGTTGTAACTCCACAATTCTCTTGTATTTGGTCGAAACCTGATCAAAATAATAAGTTTCAACTGTGCAAGACATTTCAAGCTGTTATCATTATTACTGTGGCCCAATCAACCCAAGCACTGATTTTCAGACTAGAGGTTGCAAACGTCATGCCCCTCACCTTCTAATAACTGCAAGGGACAGGCCGCTGACCTTTATTCCAGAAAATTACGGGAGGATGAAGAACGAAGAGAAGCATCTCATCTCTCTAACAACACAAATTCTACTGAAGCAGAAGCTACTCAAAATGTACAACCTCAGGCAGGCACCAAGGCTGAGGGGGCACCTATGTCACCCCTCCTTCCAAAACATTCTAAAAATGCAAATCTCCACATTGGCAGGAGGTGGCACTGTCAGTCAGTGTAACCTTGAGCTGGCCCCAGCCCCAGGGGCAACCCATCTCCGTACAAAGGCTGCCATTTGAAGTGTGTGTATCAGAGAATAAACCCTACTGAACTCAAGCTCCTACTCAAACAGTGTAAACGGCAGCAGGCAGGACCCTGCCCTAAATTTGTGCGTACTCTGGCTTTAGGGAGAAAATATTGCTACATTCTGGAGCAGAACTCTAGGAAATGAACAGGACAAGGCAAATAGAATAGCTAAAATTCTAGATTCCCACGTTATTTTATTACAGATGCCACCTCTTCTGACCTAGACTACCTTCTCTTAACTTTCACATCATCTCAAACAGCAAACTTTCTACCCACAATTGCAATTCTGGCTTCATCTCCCCCTTAGGGAAGATTTCCCCCCATTTTTTTCTATCTTTTCTCATTCTCAGTGCCTCTCCACACCTTCTCCTTTATCACTTATCCTTTCTTGTTACATGTTATGAGCTCATCTGTCTTCACTTTTCTTTAAGCAAGCAACGTTTCAAGGGACACACACTAGGAGCAAATATGTTTACCCTCTCTCCCTAACAATGCTGGCTAAGTAATGCTGTTCAAAAGAAAGGCCGGATGCATTCGCCCCTTTCCATATTCACTAAACTGGCTGTTGAAAAGTTATTCTCCTATTCCGTAGTACGGTACAGTGGTACCTCGGGTTACAAACGCCTCTGCTTACGAACTTTTCGGGTTGCGACCAGCTCCGGCCGCAAAAATTTACCTTGGTTTGCGAACTCCGCCTCGGGGTACGAACTGGATCCACGGCCGTTTTCCGCCGTGACACGTGGTCCGCGGCCATTTTCCGCCCATGCCACGTGGTCCGCGGCCATTTTCCGCCCGTGCCACGTGGTCCGTGGCTGTTTTTCCACCCTGCCACGCGGTCCGCGGCCGTTTTTCTGCCCTGCCGCGTGGTCCACGGCCGTTTTTCCGCCCATGCCACGTGGTCCGCGGCTGTTTTTCCACCCTGCTGCGCGGTCCTCAACCGTTTTTCTGCCCTGCCGCGTGGTCCGCGGCCATTTTTCCGCCCTTGACGAGTGGTCCGCGGACGCCAGACCGGATTAACGGTAATTACATTGAACCTTATGGGAAAATTTGCTTCGGATTGCAAACAAATCGGGTTGCGACCAGAGTCACGGAACGGATTAAATTCGTAACCCGAGGTACCACTGTATTATGTTTCATTTCTACAATTACCAACACTTACCGCCAAATAACATCATAAACAGGATCTAGACATACGCCAAACCCCTGAAGGTCCTCCTGTTCAGAATCATTAAATGTTTTACAACTTCCATCAACTTTATTTATCAAAAGACACTTAAATGGAGGGGGCTCTGATATGGATGCAGGTATCAAGCCTAGGAAAAACATAAGCAAAAGTCAGATATTTGGCCATTATTTGGTCTGTTAAATGACAAAATCATATTAAGAATCATATTCACTGCATTCACCTAAGCTGAATTTAAGAAGATTCCCCCCAACCCAAAAATGATTAGAAGGAAAAAGGTTACACACACACACACACACACACACACACACACATCCCTATATTCTCCTCTTGGTAACTTGGCCTGCCAATTTGCATGGAAATCAGAGGAGATTCCCTCCCACGCCCCCACTGCCAATAACAGTGCCTATGTCTCACTTTCATTCTGGATGCACACACTGGCACAGGCCACAGCACAACAAAGGGAAAGGCCAAACCCAAAAAATAAGTATGGATCTAATTAATTAGTATGGATTACTTTGTGTGTGTGTGTGTGTGTGTGTGTGTGTGTTCAACTGCCTGGACAAGTCCCTGCAATTTTCTTGGCATCATTTTTCAGAAGTGGATTGTCCTTTCCTCCTTCCTGGGGCTGAGAGAGAGGGACCAGCTGGCTTTGTGCCCAAGGCAACACTAGAACTCAGGACCTCCTGATTTCTAGCCTGGTGCCTTAACCACTAAATGAAACTGGCTGTCCTGATTAAAATTAGTGCCTGTAAAAAGCAAGGCATCCCTCATAAAAATGAGCTAATGCCTCTTCTCTTCTCTCCTTCCCCTCCACACATACAGGGCAATCCTCTGTGATGGAGGCTCCCCACCTCCTGAAACCCTCGTTTTCCAGGAAAATCCATTTGCATGACAAGCCATGGCTGGAGACTCTCCCCAGACAACGTAGCAAGGGCAACCACAGTGGCCTGACTGTGCCCCATAATGCCCGAAGGGATAGGAACAGGAGATTCCTTTCTCTCACTGTCCCCCCCCCCATTCATTTGTACATCCCACCCCCGCCCGCTCTCTTTCAATGGCTGCTGCTACTGCTGCTTTACACATTTTCACTGAATGCGAGGAATCCCTGACCCTCCCCCCGCCCCGCCCCCCAATTGACAAGTAATCCTTTTGAGAGAAAAAAAATCCCCTCCTTTTGGGTACATCCCTTGCTTTGAGGAAGTCAATGCATCAGCTAAGAAGCCACAACGGTTGATTAATGGTTCCCCTGAACTGAAGCTAAAAAGCTTCTTGCCTATGATATGCTGGCTGGCAAAAATCTCCGAGGTGGCAAGCACGTGAGAGTTGATAAGAGCTTCGTCAATCCGAAGAAAAGTCTGGTCCCCGCTTGCTCCAACCCAGGTAGCCTTGCGTCCATACTTAGAGCCAACGTTAGGCACCGCGGCAGGCTTTGCGTTCCAGTAAGGAATATCCAGGATAGGTCTACCAAGCTGCCCTTTCTGAAGGGGTAAATTAGAAATGGAAAAACAGTAGAAAATTAAGCATTAAAGGAAACTCAAATAGCGAGTGAAGAATCATACATTCTCAGCTGTGTCACCAAATGTCTCATTAAAAACCTCCATCAGCCGTTTGTGGTTTAGTTTCTGCGGTCTGAATGTCAATGAGCCACCTATATGAAATAACCCGAGAGCCTATCGGTATTAATTATTGGTATTCAAATGTAACTAGCATTTATATGAACCAGTTGCTAAGGGTTAGGCCCAAGACTGATAGGACTATCTTGAAATGAACCTGAATTTGGTCAACAGTCGGCTGGGGACTTATTTCTAACTGAAAAATTTTGCCTTGAACGCCTCCAGTTTTAACCATTGATAACATCCTTAAATTTAACATTGTCCCACCCCAACATCAATGAGTTTCTCAAGTGATGGAGAACATTCTGCATTAAACAAGGAAAGTCATTTTAAGGAAAAATGCTTACGGAGAAACTTCCAAAGGTAAAGACCTGTCCATCCATCAGCAGAACGGCTGTGTGGTTGCTGCCTGCGGTGACCTGGGTGCTGGGTCCTGGCAGGGCTTGCACTAGCGTGGGACATCCCCTAAGTCAGAAAAAAGCAACCGTGAGCTCATCCATTCTTGGGTACCAACTGCACAAGAGAGAACCCAACAGCAGTGAGTGAACCTGAAATGGCATGATTAGTGTACCTGATGACCTGCTGACCGTGGGGAATAGTCAGGAGGTCAAGGAAAGCATTTAATCTATTCAAACAGTTAATGGTCAATACTAACTATTTGAATTGTTTAAGTGCTTTCCTTGACCTGCTCAGGTAAGCCATGGCAACTCCCTGTGGACCTCGGCTGACCTCCAGAAAGGTAAGTGGGACCAGGCCTGGTAAGTGCTGGGATAGGGAATGACTAGAAATACGAGGTTTCAAAAAGGGAAATGGAGGAAGGGAAGGAAGGGCAAGCCGCCTCTGCTCTCTGGCCAAGAACAAATCCATGGAATCACTTGGACTCAGGTTGGTTCAAAGGAGCCTTCCCCTTTTTACGGATGGTTAAATCTGCTCAAGGGAACCAGGCTCTGAAATTAAAGGCATGTAAAACTCCAAGATCAAACTGGTAGTAAGGCTCTGCTAGTACTTTCCTACCACAAGTCTCAGGACTGCACAACTTAGTAGCTGAAATGCTACTCCAAATATTCCTTACATTTCTCAGTTATGAAGAATCTCCCCTTCCTGATTCTTTGCCTAATTTGCTATTCTGTAACTATGGACTGTCAAAACTTTTATTGATTTATCAAACTTATATGCACCAATTTCAATATGACTCCTATGGCAGATTTGAACTGTTAAAACACAGCATGTATATGTATGTATGTGTGTGCCTGTACACGCATGCCTATACATACAATATAAATAAAAGAAAAAAATACCAACTTCAGTCTGTTTCATCCCATCCAGGCCCTCACAGCCTCCAGACTTTGGGGTAAGACTTCCACAACATCAACAGCTTGGCCCAGGGCAGGAATGTAAAGCTGGATGTCATCAGCACCCTGGCGATACCAAACCCTGAACCAACAGATTACCTCCCCAGCAGCTTCATGCGGATGTTAAATACAGGGAAGACAGGAACAAACCCTGTGGCACCCCACCTGTGAGTGGCCGCTGGGCAGACCTCTCTTCTCCACAAGCCCCCACTGAAACTGTCCACTAAGGGAGAAGCAGAGCGGTTGCAGAGCAGTGCCTTCAATCCTCGGCCCTCACAGGTGGTCAAGTAGGATGCCATGGCTGAGGTGGTGAACGCTGCTGAGAGGGCTGACAGGACTAGGAGAGGGGCACTAATACACCATGTTTCCCAAACATGGCACGTACACCGCAGAACCACAATGCCAGCTAGATGACTCTTAAGATGACCTGTGCACATATCCATTGCTACTACTTGCCAGTTCACTGACTAGTATCATTCACTTTACTATATCAACCCTTCACTATTTTAAAAAAAGAAGCAGGCATCTTTCAGTTTCTAAACTCCCCAAATACTGAAGGGCAGATCATATTACCGATTTGTTAATATCTCTATTATGTTATGTGAAATTCATTCACCCAAAGTATCACATGATTTAAAAAATGGTATTGATCTCACTCCATTGCTTCTAGAAGCTTTGAAGAAAAGCTCGGTTATCTTTTAATTTTTAGGACCACAAGAAAATTATTCTGCAAATAAAATAAATCCATGCCCCCTTCCCCTGGTCAGAATTTTCAGACTTATACTGCAAGACCAAGACCGACGTACCTAGAATTAACATCTCCGTGCCCCAGCTGCCCGTGCTGCCCGTATCCAAATGTGTAAACATCACCGTTCTCCATTAGAACAACTAGGGAACAAAATGGGCAATTGATTAGTACCCTGGTTCCAAGGCTCGGCATTGCGAATTCCTCAGTGCATAGAGCTGTCTTGACAGATCTGGGGCACCTGACATGCAAGCACATTCAAGAGGAGGATAAAAACTTCTCCCAGGGGAACGGCTACCCAAGTCCTGGTCTGGACGAGCCACGCTGCTAGAGCCAGTGACTCTACACGCACAGGCACACCCCAGTATGCAATGAACCCTTTTACACACATACAGACACAAACACATGCACACTCCTCTCAGAGCAAGGGTGCCATCCCCACAAGGATTCAAAATCTTCTCTGACAAAGTACAGAAAAAATAAAGCTCG